CTCTCTCTCTCTCTCTCTCTCTCTCTCTCTCTCTCTCTCTCTCTCTCTCTCTCTCTCCTTTCGCCTTGCCCTCTCTCTCCCTTCCCCTCACTTGGCATATGACTAACCCCTTCTCCCCTCACTTGGAAACATTGCCAGGGTACGGACGGTAAACGAAATCAGACTTCACTTGGTGGAGAAAGAGGGCAAGGGGAGGATAGCCGGTCCCTTGTGTCACCAAGGAGGCAAAAGAGAAAGGACATTGAAGAAGTGGGAGAAAGGCGGGATCCGGGAAGAAGCATAAGTTGAGAAAGAGGTCAGTTTGACTCAACCATTTCCCCGACTACATGACTATGAGAAGAGGATGGGCTGATTGAACAACAAAAAGGGAACAACGCACAGCCAAAGAGCATGGAAAGAATAGGCATGTGGGAAGGGCTATGTGTTAATCCCTAACGGGGGACATTGTATGAATCTTCTTGCTTGTGTGGGATTGTGCAGGTAAGTAATGGCTAGAAATGCCTTGAGCGGGATAAGGGTGAGAGGAACTGGGCACCAAGAGGGAAAGGGAAGAGGGACAAAGGGGCTATGGGACCCTTGACATAGAGCCAATTCACGAAAATGACTTTTGCACTTGAGACTTGGAAGTGTGATTGAGAGTGCAATCGTACCAAGGAAAATGTGATGTTGTGTGTGCATGCATATGAGGACCCCGAAAAGACTAAGGGACCTGCTTCAATAAGGAGGAAAGCAAATTATGAGACCCGGTGGATGCGTAGAGGCGAGGGAGAGGACGGCTCCACCGCACCCCGATGACGCCATATAGCCACAATGCTTAGGGAAATGATGCGTGGCCTAAGGATGACGCTTAGCCTACGCACAAGAGAAGAGAAATACTCAAAGAACCCTTGGACTGCATGCGTATTGGAAGGAGCAATTGCATGAGAACACAACAAAGAAGCAAAAAAAATCAGCGTTGCGGAACGACCAGCGAGTCTGCCACCCGGCGTGAGGGCTGAGCTACATCCCCAATGTCAAAGCTCTCTCCCGCGATGGCCCACCCCGACCCATATCAAAGCACTAGGTGGGGGTGACCTTGGGACGAATGGCCCGCGCCCTGAGCATGAGTGTGGGCGGGCCGAGCCAACTGGGACCCGCAGTGGGGTCGACTAAGGCTCGAAAGTCTACCGGGGTTTGGCCCTACAACGTACTTATCCTTCTATGCACCACCAACTTCGCCGACGGATGACGAAGTCGCGGTGGGGGACATCCTTGCGTATGTTACCAAGGTGGCCCGCGAGTTTCGCAATCAGCGGAACGACGCGGTGGGGGACATCCTTGCGTATGTTACCAAGGTGGCCCGCGAGTTTCGCAATCAGCGGTACAACGACAACAATGCACTGCTCCTCTATGTCCACATCCAAGTTGGGCAAGCGTCCTGCAACGCTTTGCTGGATAGCGGCGTGTCTCGCAATTTCATGAGCCAAGCCTTTATGCAAAGGGCTGGCCTTGGCACACAAGTTCGGAGGAAGGCAAACCTGATGGTGATCAAGTTGGCGGACGGAAGGACGCAGCAACTTATCGACAGCCATATCGAGGCCGTACCGGTGTATTTCGCACCTCATGCATGCGAACCGGTGACGTTCGACCTTTTGGACACAGACTTCGACATTATTTTGGGAATGCCTTGGCTTGCAAGTGTGGATCACACGGTCAACTTCCACCGACGGACTCTTACCGTTCGTGACGCCTTCAACGCCGAAGTGTCGTGTACTATTCCTCTTCCGCACCCTTCGATTCGGTGCCAAGTGGTGACGACCAAGTTATTCGGGGCTACTTGTGCTTACGAGCAGCCCGACGAAATCAGCCTATGTTTCCTATGGACCGTCGCGGTAGCCGACTCTTCAACCACGAACTTGTCTTCGGACCCCCGTGTGGTGCGGTTGCTTGACGAGTTCGCCGACATCTTCGAGTCACCTACTGGTGTGGTGCCGGATCGGCCGATCTCTCACAAGATCATTCTTGAGGCCGTGTCGTGCCGCCGAAAGGTTGCATTTATCGCATGAGCGAGGAGGAGCTTACGGTCCTCCGCGCGCAGCTCAATGATTTGTTGGACAAGGGTTGGATCCGCCCTAGTAGCTCTCCATACGGAGCGCCAGTTCTCTTTGTACGGAAGAAGAACAAAGATCTACGATTGTGCATCGACTACCACAAGCTCAATGCACAAACCGTCAAGAATGTGGGGCCTCTTCCTCGCATCGACGATCTTCTTGAGTGATTGGGCGGCGCAAAGTATTTTTCTAAGTTGGATTTGAAGTCGGGATATCATCAAATCTCGATCCGACCGAACGATCGTTACAAATCTGCGTTCAAGACGCGATATGGGCATTTTGAGTAGGTGGTCATGCCTTTTGGCCTCACCAACGCCCCGACAACCTTTCAAGCGGCAATGACCAACGAGTTTCGTACAATGTTGGACCGGTTCGTGCTGGTCTACTTAGATGATATTCTCGTCTATAGTTGGTCATTGGAGGATCATCTTGAGCACCTTCGACGAGTGTTGGAGACGCTCCGCCGCGCTAAGTACAAGGCCAACCGCGACAAGTGCGAATTTGTCCGACAAGAGCTGGAATACTTGGGCCATTTTGTCACACCGGACGACATCAGTCCGCTATTGGACAAGATTCAGGCCATCCAAGAGTGGCCGGAGCCACGGAACGTCACGGATGTTCGTTCGTTCCTTGGCCTCGCCGGCTACTACCAGCGTTTTATCAAGGGTTACTCGAAGATCGCGGCCCACTTGACCAAGCTTCAATGCGAGGATCGACCATTTGACTTCGGAGAGGATGCGCGGGAATCATTTTTGGCTCTCAAAGCCGCGCTATTATCTGCAGAGGTCTTGCGCATATACGACCCGCTTTTGCCTACGCGCATCACTACGGATGCGTCCGGCTATGGCATTGGTGCCATCCTCGAGCAACACGATGGCGTGGGCTGGCACCCGATCGAGTATTTCAGCAAGAAAGTGTCCGTCGTGCACTCCATTGATGATGCACGCAAGGAGCTCCCCGCCTCAAGCGGTGGCGACACTTCCTCCTTGGTCGAGGCCAATTCCGATGGCAAAGGAGCGACGTGCATCCACGCACTCAAGCGGTGGCGGCACTTCCTGCTTGGTCGAGGCCAATTCCGATGGGTAACGGACAACAATCCGTTGGTCTTTTACAAGACCCAAGACACCGTCAACAGCACCATCGCTCGATGGATGGCTTTCATCGACCAGTTCGACTTCTTTCCCGATCACATTCCGGGGAAGTCGAACCGTTTTGCGGATGCTCTTTCATGGCGTCTGGGTCATTGTACCATGGTCTATTCAACCTTCGAGATCGACAACGACCTGCGGGACAGCTTCATCCGTGGCTACCAAGCCGACCCCGAGTTTCGCGACAAGTACGCGAATTGCTCCTCTCCTAATCCGGCGCCTTCTCACTACCGGATCCAAGAGGGGTACTTGCTTGTCCACACACGGGGGAAGGACCTTCTTTGCGTACCGAGTGACCCTCACTTGCGTGCACGGCTTCTTGGCGCTACACTACCTACTAGTGTGAGTGTGAAAAACACAAGTTTGGAATTCCCAAATCACCAAGATTGCATCAAAAAGCATCTAGGAAAGAATCGGAGTACTACCTCCTAGTGCATAAGTGAAAGAGAAGAGTTTGAGTAGCCCATGGAAGAGAGAAGGTGAAGTAAGAGAAGATGGAGGAGAAGGGGAGAGAGATGAGGAAGATGGAGATGGAGAAGAAGGGGAGGAAGGGAAAGAGAATGAAAGTAAGGAGGAGAAAGGAGGAGATGAAGAGGGGAGAGAAGAGAAGGAAGGAGGGAGTGAGGAGGAAGAAGAGGAAGAAGAAGGAGGAGAGGGAGAAGGAGAAGAAGAAGAAGAAGAAGGAGAAGATGAAGGTGGAGAAGCCTCTTCCTTCCTCTCACCTTGTTGATTCCTTGGTGTTGGTATCCCCCTGATGAAGCTTCCTCTCCTTGCACAATCCTCTCTTGGCTATGACTTCCTTCTTCTCCAAGCCCTTTTCTCCTCCTCCCTTGCTTTCTCTCAGGCTATGGCAATCTCCCCCAGCTGTGGCTATGGAGTCCTCCCCTCTAGGAGGGCTAATGGGGCTCCTCTAGCCTCTCTTCCTCTCCTACACCCAGGAGGGATATGGCGGATCACCTTCCAAGTGTCTCTCCTACCATTACTATCCTCTAGAGTCCTCTCCACTACCTCCTAGTCTCCTCTAAGCTCTCCCACTAGCATGGGCTCCTCCCCTCTTACTCCAAGTGCAAAGGTGCTCCTCTGGGCTCACTTGGGAAGCATGGGCACTCCTCATGCAAATGTGAGAGTGGCGGACTGCATCCTCAGCTTATGTAGGCTGAAACCCGCAGTCCGGCCAGCCCATGAGCCTCCCCTTAAGCCTTGAGGTGAACCGAGGTACCCCCAAGGCAAAATTCCCTCACTAGGCCCTCCTGGAGGTACCTGGGCCTCATTTTGGCCAAGTGCATGCAGTCCAAGTGGTTGGTACCAACTCGGACTGCCTCTTGGTCTACCCCGGCCTCTTTTTCATTGCTCAAATGCCGCCCCCTAGAGTCCTAATGCCCAAGGGGCAGCAATACTTGAAAGAAAAAGGCCTTGTGGGCCTTTTTCTCGATTTTTTCAAGTTTCGGTCTCTTTTGAGTAGGCCAGAGCATTTTTCCATATGGCGGCATATTTTCAGCCTTGGATCTGGCTGAGATCCAAGGCCAACAATAATCCGAGCTACCCCCTAGTAGCCCTTGCTTCAATTTTGAGCCCCTAAGTCCAGTTTTTCAATTTTTGGTACATCTGGCTCTCTTTTAGGACCAAATGCACAGTTTTGTCATTTTCCCTCTTTTGTTTCTTTCCATTTTGGGCTGCCACCTCATTTCGGAGCTAGCCGTTTTGAGCTGGCCCACAAAAAACAGCTAGTTCCTCTCTACCATGAGATCTGATCTCAGATCCATGGCCCAAAAGAAAGCCGGCCACTTCCTTTTTACATTTTCTCTCATTTTCAGCTTTTTAATTCAGATTTTATTGAGGTCCCTCCCTCTTCCTTTTTAATCCGGATTGCCCTCCCTCATTCTAGGACGGATGAGGTCACTGTTGGGACCTGCCAGTCCCTACTGTGCAGGTCCCAATAGGCCGGCACACTCTCCTCCACTCTTTTCTCCCTTTTTGTCTCATTCTCCCTCCTTTTTCTCTCATTTTTCTTTCTTTTTCTTTTATTTCTGTTGTGACAAGTGTCAAACTGTTGTGCACCCTCTTTCTAGGCCCTTGGGCCTCATTCAAGGCCAGGTTCATGGCTGTTACATGGCCGTTACATCTCGGATTCCAATAATGGCACCCCCATGCTCCTAGGGGGCTCCATTTTGCTCCCGTTTGCCCAATTTTGAGCCCCTTTTGCTCCGATTTTCTGAGGGCAGCCTTTTTCTCATGTTGGGCCTCTCATGGCTCTATTTTATTATGCCTTGCTAGTCCGAGACATCCCGGACTGCTGGGCAACCTTCCCAACACCCTTATTTCATTTTTCTTTCTCTCATGGCTCTCTCACTTGCTCCCATTAGTGTTTGCACTAGTGGTGCTAATATTTTCCACCGTCTAGATCCTTGATCTCGAAGGTGCCGCTTGCTTGCACAATTATTCCTTGTGTTTGCTCATGGTTCCCTTGGGACATCCCAAGTCCCCGCCATTTTCCTACATGCTAGCTCCATTTCCTTGGACCGCCGGCGCGTGTCCCGTTTTTCCAATTTTTATCATTTGGACCCATTTGGTCCCCGACAACATTCCGGGCGACATCCCATTTTTATTTTTGGGCCCCTTTACTCTTGGTGGTCCCATCATCTCTACATGTGTGCTGATTTTTCTAGACCGTGAGATCTCATCTCACGGTTGCCGTTCACCGTCTTTACTTGCCCCCTTGCTGAAATTGCTCCTTTCTAGCCTTCCGGGCTTGCCATAGCCCATTCCCCTTTGGCCTTGGCATCCCCCATGCAGTCCGTAATTTCTCGGACTGCAGTCATGGCTGTTTTCCATACCCACAGCCCCACAACTTGCCCCATGTTGAAAGAAAATAAAGCGTTAAATTTTCTAGTGCATCCGGGTTCAATATTGGCTCCGGATGCACCTATAACATGTGTTTTCTCTCTCCCATGCAGTCCGTTGCAACTCGGACTGCAATGGGGGTCAATTCCTTAGCCCCAATGCCCCACAACTAGCCCTTACTCAAAAGAAAAAGAAACGGCCAACTCCCAAGTGCATCCGGCCTTGATTTTGGCTCCGGATGCACCTAAAACATGTGTTTCTCCTCATGCATGTATTTCGTTTTATTCCGGTTGCAAGAGGCCTTGATTTTCTTTGATTTTCTCTGCAAAAATCAAAGA